TTAATGCATGAAAAATGAGCCGCGCAATAAGACTGAAAGACCACATCACACCGGGCTTATTAAAATAGAGAAGCCTGCTGAATTACCTGCCTGACACTTAGTATTTGTCTGGAAACATTAAAAGACTGGAAACTCAGTGAGGACACATTAGATATTCACTACTATGAAAAAGAGGCTCAGGTTTGACTTATTACCACGTCTTGTCACATAGTGAAAAACCGAGACGAGGCTCAACGGTATTACACCTGTACTTTTTGATTGATGACCTGAATGGGAAATTTTACTTTATTGACACATTTTGATTTTCTACTGTTCTTTGCAGGTGTGCATCCATACTGTATGCCCAAAAGTTAGAGATTCTACACTGACATTGATAAACGGAGGTACTTAAGATATATGCTCTTAACATCATAGGTGGACACTAACGGAAGTTATTGAGGTGTTTACTAGGTAATTTTACAATGTATCTACATATTCTCTCCTGAAAAAAAAAAAAACCTCGACCCAGTTTCAAATTTGCACTTAACACTTCCCTGTGGCTCACGTTCTCATTCATCAAGCATGTTTGTCTCACTGACAAGCTGCAGACCACCGCCTGAATATCAATATCAGCTAAGACAACGACAGCAAGCACCGGGCGAGTAACCTTCAGCTAAATGTCATTCTGCTTAATCCTATTTGAAAATTAAACATTGAAAAAACCTTTAGCGTCTTCACTTCTTCCTCCCCGACCCTCGCCTTCCCTCTCTCTTGTTCATTTCGGCACGTCCCTGACATTTGTAAATATTGTGTTTTCCATGAGTTCTTCATTATTTGTTATTTGTTTGTAGCGCCGAAGTAAAGACTGACCAGAGATGAGAGACTGAGGCCGTTTGACATTTGCCTGGGTTGTTTCCTTCTGGCGCTTCAGAGTGTGCTCATATTTCCTGTGAATTAGTGTAACATTAGTGAACATTAGTGAAATTTCATGGGCAAAAAAGGTCTATTGTTTGACTGTTGTCAATGGAGTAACTACGGTGGCCCAGTAGTGCACAACGTAACGAAATTAAAAAAGCAAACATAAGCTCACAACACAATGCAATTGAAAAAGCAAACATACGCTCACAACACAACGAAATTAAAAAAGCAAACAAAAGCTCACAACACAATGAAATAAAAAAAACAAAAACAAACATAAGCTCAAGCTCACAACACAACGAAATAAAAAAACAAAAACAAACAAACATAAGCTCACAACACAATGAAATTAAAAAAGCAAACATAAGCTCACAACACAACGTAATTAAGCCACAACACAATGAAAATGCTCCCGACCACGAAAACACCGATATTTCCTCGAGACGCCACAAGAAATTCTCAGTAAGTGATTGATTTTGTGTAATAGATTTTTAAATGAACGTGTTTTTACTGAATGTTTTGATATCCTGGTAATCTTAATGTATCGATTCATGAATTGAGCAGAAAATAAATCAATATTACTTTCGATTTGGACAGTTTAGCTCTGCTCTTGCGCACAATTGCCCGTTTCTGCAGACCAACTGCCCCCTAGTGTTCGGGAGCATTTACGTTGTGTTGTGGCTTAATTTCGTTGTGTTGTGAGCTTATGTTTGCTTTTTTAATTTCGTTGTGTTGTGAGCTTATGTTTGCTTGTTTAATTTCGTTGTGTTGTGCACAACTGGGCCACTGTAAGTAACAGTGTATGAAGCACAGTTCACACTGAAGTCATTTTAAATTTGTCACTTGATGGAGTTTGGTTTCCTTGCTACCATTGTCATTGGCTTGCTTATAGTTGTGGTCTAAATGACAATTAATATTGAGTAATGTCGATTTGACGGCACTGACACTCAGATGAGAACATAACTTGAACTGAATTGTGCTAAATAATGATGACATTGTCTTCTGTAGAGCTGCTTTATTGTTTAATCAAATTCGTTCATAATTCATGAATTTTGCAACATCAACACAGCTGTTGAACTGAAATGAATCAACACTCAAATGATTGGAGCTGAATAAAGACACTGCTGTCTTTAGTAGAGTTGCTTATCGCTGGATTGAACTTGTTTTGTAATGAATGAATTTTACACAGTTATAGCTGAATTAAATCAACACTGAACTGACCTGAACTGAATAATGACACTATTGTGTTTGCCTTATTTTTGACGTTTGCATAATTATGTTTTACTTTCCTGTGTTATACTGTGAAGCTGCTTTGAAACAATCTCTGTTGTATATAGCACTATAAAACGGTGACTTGACTGGATTGAAACAGTAATGCATCAAAATTTTGCTAACTGAAAATATTCAGCCAAAACAAACAAACAAAAAAAGTAAAAAATAAAATAAAATGAATGAATTAATAAATAAATAAAATTAAAACAAACAATCAAACCTGGATTGAAACAGTAATGCATCAAAATTTTGCTAACTGAAAATATTCAGCCAAAACAAACAAACAAAAAAAGTAAAAAATAAAATAAAATGAATGAATGAATAAATAAATAAAATTAAAACAAACAATCAAACAAATAAATGAATGAATGAATGAATGAATGAATGAATGAATAAATAAATAAATAAAGTTTCTCCGATGCCACGGTTTCACTCTGTCAGCATCCATGTCGTGCACAAAACGTCGATAAGCTACAACAGGTCTACAACCAAAAATATACTAGATTAGCAATATATAATTTTTTATTACCTGGAAAATCAAGAGGCAGCTCACTGATGGAAAAAAAAAAAAAAAAGACTACGACATGATTTATCAACAGCATATCCTGAACAGCATACTGAGTTCAATTTTGTAAATTTAGTAACAAAAACTTAATTTTCTGTTTCAGTTTTGTAGCTAAATATAAACTTTGATTCCAGTTTCTGTGTTTTGGTACATACATACATACATACATACATACATACATACATTACATACATAAAGTTTGGTGCATCACTACTTTCAAACAAAGAAACATTTTGTTGCTCAACACGGCAAATCCGTGTGACCAACTTGTACCCATTGCGAAATCTCTGATTCTATTGAAATAACTCAATTTCAACTTTGAACGTTTGCAGAACATTTGTTACACTCCACCAATGAAAGACGGCTTATGAAACAAGCCAGTTGGACTAGTGTCATCTCAAGGTCAAGGCCTCCAGCTGAGACACCTGAAAACATGCTGAAAACAGTAAATATAGATAGACACACAACTTTACTTTCATATAAAGAAAGGAAAAAATGGCAAATAGTATTTCTTCCTAAATTCCTTATCGAAAATTTGATGTTATGTATTAGTTATAATACATCGTTGTCTGTTGTACAGTGTTCATTTTCATAATTACAACTTGATTTCTCATATTTGCAATGTAATTTCTTGTTATTTGGGCATTTTATCTCATAATTGTGTCTCCGAAGACATTGGTGCCCCAGGGCCTTTCCCGAGGACCGCAATCCTTCTATGCTACCAGTGCAGGAGAAAAAGAAAGTGAGAGACGACAAAAAAATAAATGCGCAAAACCCACACACTCTCATCTGTCGAGCTGTTGCTGTCAGGTTCAGGCCCAGTGGTTCTGTTAAGGTGACTCTGACAGGAGGAAAGAGACGCCGCTCTGATAGGAGACATGCCCGAGAGGGCACCATGCATCAAACGCACATATTTACATAAACAAATCCTCCCCATATAGACTGTAATTACCAATGTGACACAGCCATCCATAGAGGAGAAAAGAGCTTGTCTGATAGCGACACATTCACAGTGACTGAAGTGGAAGCTCAATCAATGCGGCCACGTCGCTATAGCTGCTTTATGTGCACAGACCAAGTCCTTTGATAGGCTTTTGTACCATTACTGAATATATGGACACTATACATCATCATCTGAAAAGGTGCCTTCACCTCACACAGAGAAAGATAAAAGGAGTGATGCACACACTTTATAACAAACACAATTGTGTGATGTTGAAAGATGCTCTTTGCGGTTAGGAAATAAGCATCGGCATACAGATGATGGCTGTGATTGGACACTATAGATTATCCTCTCTTTTTACACCCCCCCCACTTAGCACATTACATTTTATCACAGAATGCTAGTCCTTTTGGGTTAGGAAAAAAAGTAAAATACCAGATATTACAACTTTTTGTAAATGCGTGAAGATATTGTGATCAGAATTTTGTGCTGTCCAAAAATAAGAAGTGATTATTTAATTGACATACACTACCGAAAGGTTTGGAATAATTAAGATTTTTAAAGAAAATTGAAAGAAGTCTCTTATGCTCAACAAGGCTGCATTTACTCAATCAAATATACTGTAAAAACTATAATATTGTAAAATGTTATTACAACTTAAAAGATGTAATTTATTCCTGTGAAAGCAATGCTGAATTTTCAGCAGCCATTAGTCCAGTCTTCAGTGCCACGTGATCCATCGGAAATCATTATAAGGAAACGTGTGACAAATATGATGAGTTCTACAAAATATTACTCAAAATATCAAACATGGTTTATATCCATAGACTGGATGGAATCATAATCTGAAGCTAATAAAAAAAATGAGTGTTCATCATACACTGTATGATTTTCTGTGAAATCTGTCAACTCCGACTGGCCAAAATCCGAAGACTGCAAATCTAAGCAAAAGTTGTGTAGTTTATTCCAGTCTTTAAGTTCCAGGTTTATTCTTCTAATAAAGAAGCCCGTATACCCTGGCTACTAGACGTTGATTAATGCCAACCAAACAAATTGGAACTGGTGATTTCATCCAACTCTTGCATTTTTGTGTGCAATATGCATCAGAAGTGATAAACACTAAACAGACATTGGCAGTGCTACCTGATACAGCACGAGTATAATGTTGTTATTTTTCACATCTTTGTATACTCACTATCACCCACAAGAGATTGACTGTGAAGTTGTAAAGAAGTTGTATGCTTAAGGAAGATCTGTGTTTTACCAGTGTTTTCTAGAGTTGGCTTAACACACATTTCTGTTTTCTGTGTTTGTGAAATGCAGGTGGGAGATGCAAGATGCTGCAGCACTGGAGGATGAAGAGAAGATTTTAGTGGATCAGTTAAAGAAAATATACTTTGACAACAGCCAAGAAACATAGCAAAGTCCCAGTGACTATATAACAGGAGAAACAAATGACCAGTGTAAAAAGTGTATGTACTGTAGCTACTAATAAGACTGTTAAAAGTGGATGTGCTGTGGATGTGAAATGACAGTTGCAGATCAGTAATAAACAAAAAACATTGTGAACTCTAATAAATCACAAGAAGGGTTTGATGAAATATGACTCCAACTCTGAATTGGATGCATGCACAATTGAAAACTGTACTCCACTGATGTGTTAAACAAATGATCATATAACAGTTATGAGGAAACTGATTTTGGAGTATTACTTGCTGGAAGGGGAAAGTTACAGGAGGTGTTCTTTAGTTTCAGTCAGTCAATGAATGTAGAATAAAAAAAACAAATGCATGCATTATCTACACAAAATATGATTATTGGAAAGAGATTCTTAACAACTCTTAATATAATCCGGGAGACCTTGTGGACTTTAAATGAGAAGTCCAATAGTGCTTTTTGAATGCAGAAGTGTTTGCTGAGGCATAATGACTGTTGTGTCATAGTACAAAAAAATGACTGGCTTAAATATGTTTTTTTTTTTTAAATTTTGAAATTGTTTGTATTTTTCTCTTTTCTGGTTTTATTTGAACTTTAGTTAAGGTTTTAGTATTTTTTTTTTTATGTCTATATAGTTTTCATTACTTTTTTTAAACTTAAATGTTTCAGTTATTTTAGTTCATCAAGACAAACTAAATAAAAACTATACTAAATGAAATGTCACCATGGAAACTAGCAGAAATAAAACGAAATTTATAATAAAATGACATCCTTTGAGAAAATGTACTTTTTTCTGTGATTTAACAACTTTTCAACGTGGCAACGTTATGTGGATTATGTTCTTATTCTTTTATTATATTTATTTTTTTCAAAAGTCTGCACTTCATTCAGTGATTTCACAGTGAAATATACACTTAGGGTGACCATACGTGCCATTTTCCCAGGACGCGTCCTGGCCAGGATTTCTATATTGCCTAAAATATCTAGGTTTTGGCTTTGTTTGCGTGTGCAGACCGATCGGTGTATGACATCAAAGTACCATACAGACGGTTATGCTTTCGAAACGCTCTCGAGGTACTTTGATGTCAAACACTGATCGGTCTGAGCCGCACTGCTTTTAAGTCGAACACACCTAATATGTACGCGTAATTGCATCGCTTTGACCGTAGATCCCACCTTCTCACACGCCATGATTGGTCCATTATGTACAATGCTTGCATGTTATTGGTCAAACTACTCTTCGATCATTACCTTCAGCAAGCATGGAAACAGGAAGAAACAAAGCCAAAACAAATCCTGGCCAGGACGCGTCCTGGGAAAATGGCACGTATGGTCACCCTAATATACACTGCATGTGATAATTATTGATTAATTCAAAGACGTGAATTTCCTTTTAGAAGATTGAAACGGTATTTTATGTATAGTACAAAAAAATTATATCAAAAACATTATTAGCTTTAGCTTATTGCCTGTTACTTTAATGGAAACGATTGCATATCATATGTATCCGTACGTTTAGTACAGCTCCTCTGTGTCTGTGAAAAGCGGCGCTGTCTGTTTAAATCCCGCCAATCAGCTGGAACTTGTGTAACACGCTTCCGTTTCCGAGGAGACGGAAGTGTGTCTTCCTGTTTGGCAGAAGGAGGAAGCAGGATGTGGGAAATCTCACATGTGCTTGTTGTTATGGTACGTGAGCGAAGCGACATGCAGGCAAATTCATATTTAACTCTAACTCTCCCACTGTCTTCGTCTAGCTCTTCAGCAGGGTGATCCGTATCGCTGTTTTAACTATCTGTGCTTTGTGAAGTTTTGTGTCTCCCATTTGTGTGATGAGTAGTTGTTTATAAACACTGGCTGGGGTCCATGCAGGGAATCCTTTACCATGTGTACATGCTCCGATCATGTCGCAAACTAACAGCAGATCTCTGCTTCCATTGTGTTTCTCGAAATGCAGACACTGAGGTTCAGGTGCATGTGAGTCTCTCACTTCAGCACGCTTGCTTTTAGACCTGAAGCAAGCTGTTAGCTTAATGCTAGTTACCACCATAAAGACATTCTGACCGGTCATTGAAGTACGATTGGATTCAACTCAACGACTTTTACGTTTGACTGCTTGCACACGAACAGATCAGAACGGTAACATCAGAAGCTGGAAACTTTAAAAGCTACATTGCCCAACAAGTAAACACTTTCTCTGTCAATATTTATGTATTTCTTAATTTTTTAAAAAGTCAGTATATAATCAAATCATTATTAATGGTTATTTGCACTAATCAAAATTACATGTAGTTACCTATCATTAAATACATTTAATATATTATTATATTTTTGGTCAGCTGTTTGTCACAGGACAAGTGTACATTGTCCCAAACATTATTGATTGTTATTGACAGTATTAATATTATTGAAACATGATTTAACTGATAAATCGAAACGTAATATGCATTATAATATGTCATAATCATATGTTTTAATGTTTTGTGATTGAATTGCAGAAGTTGTTTTAAAAAGCTTTTTATTTACTATTTTGGTAACTCTTTAGAATAGGGAACACTTATTCACTATTAACTACGAATTCTCCCTCAATAAATTCCTAATTTGCTGCTTATTAATAGTTAGTAAGGTAGTTGTTAAGTTTAGGTATTGGGTAGGATTAGGGATGTAGAATAAGGCATTAATATGTGCTTAATTACTACTGATAAATGGCTAATATTCTAATAATATGCATGCTTATAAGCAACTAGTTAAGAGACCCTAAAATAAAGTGTTACCACTATTTTTTATTATTTTAATGATTTGTGACACCTCTGTAGCAGTTTGACACCAGTATAATATTTGAATATTACTGCTTTATAATTTAGTAACGGTTAATAGTTACTGTTGATATTACATTATATATTTTTTATAATGCATTAATAGAAATTTCTATCATGCTTTATATGCATTCATGGTAATGAATTTTCAGGCAAACTTTTTGTGATGGAGTTGTTACAATAAAGGTCATAGCATTGGAAGCTTGTTTGTTTGTTTGTGTATTCATATGTATTTATTCTTGATCAGGGTGACATGCAGTAATATTTCTGTAGTGGTGTGTCCATGCCTGCCAGAGCCAGCATCTTCCTCTTCTGTTTAGTTTGGATAACTATGGCCCAGCTCTTGGCACAAGAAGAAAAAGAAAAAACTACTGCACTAAAAGGTAAAGCCAGCAGTTATGAATACACACTGTGCGTGAATATACATAGAAATAGAAATCAATACAAATTAAATCACACATTTTTAAGGGGGATGTTTTGTGTGCTTATTACATTTTTAAATTTAAAACATTAATTCATTCATTTGTTTTCTAGATTTACTGTCCAGGATAGATTTAGACGAGCTGATGAAAAAAGACGAACCTCCACTGAACTTTCCTGAAACTCTGGATGAGTTTGAATATACCTTCAATGAGCGTAAGACCTTTCGCTTGTCTTTACTCTAAACATTTTTAGACACAATAAATGATTTCACACTGTGACATAGTGTCATCTAGACCATCAAATAGCGCTTGGCCTTGTACTTTAATACCATGATTTTGTATCTTGTCTGTGGTTCTGAAGGTTTGAATGCATTAGAAGTGTGCAGAGGGTTTCATTGGATATTGACAGCAGGCAGCAGGCTGTGATAGCGCTGTCTGTTTCAGAGTCTCTGGAGTCTGTGGCAGCTGAATGGACAAGTTGTGCATGCTATGGGCTGTCAGTGGCTTACTCAGCCTTGTGCTCTGTTTGACGGCTAGATTTGCATAACCTTGCTCCTCTCTCTAAAACGCCTCCTGTTAGCGTCTGGAATACCTTATATCAGTCTCTCAGTGAAGAGTATCACTTTTATTCGATTTTATAAGAAAGTTTCATTTTGTAACTTCTTTTCCCACTCTCTGAGATGAATGTAAAATGGCCATTGAGCCAAAGAATAGTTCTGAACATTAGCTTTTTAATGCAGGGTTTTTGTCACTTTGCTCAAATAGGATACAAAATAGGGTCTAAGGTCAGCCAGTAGAGTGCAAAGCATTTAGAAAATGTTAATCGTTAAACTAAACATTATACGAGCCAAATGCAGATCTGTGTAAATGTGTAAATATAGTTTAAATCCTTGATTTGAGTGATGTTATTTTCTAGCAATAATTCAGAGTGGATACAAAAAAGTCAGCTAATGAGTGCATCGCCTTTAGAAAATGTTGATGGTTAAACTATATTATATGAGACAAATACCAACTGGACATATGTAAATATAGTTTAAAACCTTGATTTGAGTGTTGTGATTTGAGTGAAAATTATAAAAAAAAAAAAAAATATTATTATTACTATTATTTTAGTAATTTGTAATCATTTATAAGATTTATAAGTAAAATTCTGTCAAGATTTCTTGCAGTTTTTGCCTAAATTAGGTTTTAATTAACTAGGGATAGATAAATATTTACAATAAATGAAAGTAAAATATTAGTTTAATTTTAATAATTAATTTCAGTAACTCTGGTAACAGGGTTAAATGGTAGAGAATGGGACATCACAGTGTACCCTATCTGTGGAAACTGCTTTTTAATCTTTGTGCATTTTTTCTCTCCTCTTCTTCTTCTTCTTCTTCTTCTTTTTTTTTAAAATCAGTGATCTAATGAGATAACCCTACAAGAAATACATATGCATTTGAAATTAATGTTTTTTTCCCCCTTCCCAAAATCATGTGGCATGATGACTTTATCCCAGTCCGCCTTCAGCTCGTTCATTACTGGAAATCCAAGGTTATGTATACCTCATTAAGCTAAAAATTGAGAAAGCATGCTAATTATGCCAGGTTAAAGCAGGGAGAATAAGTTGAAGGGGGATATTCCTCAGAGAGCCTGTGTTATGAAGACGATGGAGCTGAACATCCACTGCATGTTGGTTTCATTAGATCCCCTCTTCCTTCTGGTAGTAGTGTTTCTCTTCACCCCTTTGTGAATGCATAATTCATTTTTAAAGGTACTTCCTTTTTTTTTACACTAGCGCATGCTATCTCAATTCTCTCTCTCCCTCTCTCTCTCCCTCCCTCCCTCCCCTTCCACTGTCTCTCTCATTCTTTCTCTAATTCTCTTCCCATCCTATCTCAAAGGAGCGGCCATGCTTTCGGAGTTCATTGTTGATATACGACCTTTTAGTGGTACATGATGTTGAACAGCTAACGATGAAAGCGAATAGTGTAATACTCTCCGAGTTAGCCATGTTGGATTTATCACCTGCAAACTGTGCAAAAAGTGCCGGAGCTTTGAGAATGAGGGGAATGAAAGTGCTTATGCAATCTTTTATCTTCAAAGCTGTTTTTCTTTTTGTGGAGCTATGCACTAGGCTAGGGTAATTGCAAAAGTATGAGGCCCCTAGGCTATTTGGGTTAAGTGTGTATGCTTTGAGTATTTTAACTTCACGCATTGGCAATCAGAGAGGTCACTATTAGATTTAACACTGGTTTTAGGCTTCATTGTTCCTCTGTGTCAACAGTAGAATAGATGGGTCTATCTTTCTTAAAAATCCTTTCAGAAATGTTGCAAACCAGTTTCTGTGTTTATGTTATTCAGTGTTGTATTGTTTGGTGGAATAGAATTGTATTAATAGGAATGTTTGGTGCCCTTACAAAAAGTAAGGGGAGTACTGTTCATAAATTTGGGATCTGTAAGAATGTAAGAAATTATTTTATTTTATTTTATTTTGTTTTGTTTTGTCTTATTTTGTTTTATTTGATTAATAAATGAATACTTTTACTCTGCAAGGATGCATTAAGTTGATAAAAAGTGTAAATTTCATTTTATATAATTGCTGTTATTTTGAACTTTCTGTTTATCTGTTTAATAATCTTGTAGTATGTATCATAGTTTCCACAAAAATATTAAGCATCACAATTGTTTTTAACATGAATACTAATAACCAAATCACCAACTCAGCATATTAGAGTGATTTTGGAAGGATCAATAATAAATACAATAAATTGTATTTTAAAATAAATTAAAATAGTGAAAACATTGAAAAAATTATTTTAAAATGCTATAATATTCTACAGTATTAATGTTTTTGTGGGATTTTTGAACCATTCAATCAATCAATCAATCAGCAAGCAAGCCTTGGTAAACGTATAAGAGATTTCTTTTAAAAAAACATTAGTTGCGACCCAATTTTTTGACCAGTAATGTATAAAAAATGGTACTGTACCATGTAACATGTAATAACATGCATTGATATACAATATATACAATTAAATAACACAGTTAATAAATGCTTTAAATTTTAAATATTTAAAAGTAATTGTGGGTAGCAATGTTTCAAGTATGGCTCTCACTCACAAGGGGCTAGCTAGTTTGGGACCAAATGTCAATATATGGTTTCTGATCTACTTATTTTGCCTTTAAACGAAAGAAAGTTATTTTTTAATGACACTAACGTAGGGAGCAGGGTTACATGGTTGAGTTGGACGAATGTTGTGTGTCAGTGCTACAATATAGTATACATTGATTAATTAAGAAACAAATGTTGTCCAAAAAGTGGATGGGATTGCATATATGTCAGTCATTCAGCCCTTCCCCTGAAAACTCCATTAGTCCTAACCAAGCAGGGTGTTGTTGTTTACCTCATCCACCTCAGCAGCTGTTTCGCAGCATCAGTACTTGGCAAAAGCCAGGCCTCATTGTCCAGCCTTGGCAGAACAGTGGCATTCAAGTGGGTCACTTTGAATGAAGTCGGCTGGCCCGCTCTCAAACGAGCCCCTCAAAGGATGCTCATAGGAGGGAACAGTTGCAGCGGTCCAGCCACACTCACGCACGCTCTCAGATCTCTGGTGGCTTGAGGTACAGTGGTGGAGAGACCGCTATTGCAGCACCAGCTGTCTGAGGAAGGCCTGCCAGACGTCCCAGAAGGCCGAAGTAAGGGGGACAGGCGAAGCGTTAGCCGTTCGCAGGGCTTGTACCTGCCAGATGGGGGGACGCCAGCCAAACGTATTTAATTGCATGAAGGGGAATGATGCACATCAAGCAGGCCTGAGGTTCTGAACTGAAGGTCACAGCCTGACAGGACTATGGACGGCCCTCAAGGCCTCATATACTAAGGCTTTCAGTGTTTCAATGGATCCCAACTACACTCTTAAAAATAAAGGTGCTTCACGATGCCATAGAAGAACCTTTTTGTCTAAATGGTTCCATAAAGAACCTTTAACATCTGAAGAACCTTTCTGTTTCACAAAAGGTTCTTTGTGGCGAAAGAAGTTTCTTCAGATTACAAAAACGTAAGAAAGAGATGGTTCTTTAAAGAACCTTTGACTGAATGGTTCTTTGTGGAACCAAAAATGGTTCTTCTATGGCATCGCTTGAAGAACCTTTTGAAGCACCTTTATTTTTAAGAGTGTACTCATTGAGAATAGCTTTGGCTGAGGTGTTTGATGCTCCTCAAACTGCAGGTGCAAAATGGTTGGTGAATGTGAAGGTAAAGAGTGATTCACTTGAATTCAAGCCTGCCAATGTTGTGCCCTTGCTGTGAAAACAACAAGGCTTTCATGTGTGCCATGGCCAATCAAAGACGTCTTACTTTTATGTTGGAAAACGTTCTTTTTTTTGTTGGCTCACAAAGGCTTTGGCTTCATGCCGTCACTCACGCTCCACTTCAAGATACTCTGCACTAATATTGTGCTTAATATTCCCTTCATCTGCTGTTGAAATGGAATGGTGGGAAAAATGTTATAGGGAGGTTAAAGATAATAAAATTAATAGCGTCCAGTCTCAGACCCAAGCAGCAAATGCCGTGGACCGTCTTTCTTAATGGGTTATAAACTGTTTGTTTATGGAAGCCCTTCTACATAAACCAAATTGAGGTATTCTTAAGCTCTCAAAGGCATCACTTTTTATGATTTTATTACAAAATTCTACAGTTGTGTATTTTTTTTTTCCTTTCCTGTAGATGGTCAGTTGAGACACACACACACAGGGGAGCCATTTGTCTTCAACTATAAAGAGGACCTGCATAGATGGAACCAGAAAAGATATGAAGCGCTGGGAGAGGTACTGTTGATAATTAAAAAAAAAAAAAAAAGTACATAAAAATGTGATATTGTGTTATCTTTACAAATCAGTTTGGGAAATTATGTATGCGGTAATTCAATATTATAGAACATCTTTGAGTATTGATTTATTTATTTATGCTACCTTTTAAATGTTTGGGCTCAGTATTATTTATTTATTTATTTGTTTGTTTGTTTGTTGATTGATTTAATTTTTGTTCAGCAAGGAGGCATTAAATTTACCAAAAGTGACAGTAATATAATGTTACAAAAGATGTATATTTCAAATAAATGATTTTCTTGAACTTTCTATTCATCAAATAATCCTAAATAAAAATGATCACAGCACAGCTGTTTTCAACATTGATAATAATAAGAAATGTACTTACTTGAGCACCAAATCAACATATTAGGAAGATTTCTGATGGATCATATGACACTGGGACTGGATTAATGGATTCAACTGAAATAAATTACAATTTAAAGTTATATTAATATATTATATTAAAATAGAAAACATTTATTTTAAGATGCAATAATTTCACAATTTTATTTATTTATTTTACTGTTGTATTATCAAATATATTCAGTAAGAGACTGCTTTTGAAAACAAATAAAACAAACAAAAAACTTACTGACTCCAAACTTTTGAATGGTAGTGTATGCATGCATTTATTTATTTTATTTAGAGTGAAAAAAATATTTCAAGGTCAAACATACTTTTTTAAAAACCACACAGCACCACCAAAGTTTAAAACCATTTATCTCAGTGGTGTATTGATATTTGAGTAGGCCGTTATTTAAATCACATGATTTTCACATGGACCATTTTTAAGGTGTGAACGTGGTTTTTCTGATACATTATAGACTGTCTTTCATCTTTTTGTGGTTGTTGTGTTTAGTCTGAGTGAGCTCTGATTTACAGCACTCTTAACTGTTCACACCTTCACGCTTTACCAACCACTACTCCTTCCAACCCCCTTCCACTGTCACGCTGCAGGGCTGTGCGCATGTTATAAGCTTTAAGGTTTTTGTTGATTGTTCATATTTTGATGTGTATCACATATTGGCTTATTAGACTGTGTGTGTACTTGTGTGTGCCTTCAGGAAAGTTTCTTTTTCTGCTGTAGCCTGCATGTGGCTTTGAAAGTTCAAATGCAGTTCACCGAGTCTTAAGTTAATTTGCGTATACATGCACTTAATTATCTTTGTTCATTTACGTCTGTATTATTTGGCTTTATTTGTAGTGCATATTCGTTTGATGTTCAAAGGAAAGAGATTGACTCTTTTAGGATTATATGAGCGTTTTATTTCTGGTCCAGGTATGATCCTAAGAGAAATGGCCCTTTAAGAACAAAACAAAACAAAACAAAACACTTCTCTTCTATTATCACTGCGTATCTGTTTACGTGGCTAAAACATAAAGCAAACGTTTCAGAGCTGAACAGCGGGTGACCAGATTTCATGAACTTCTCTTGAGTGAATTCAAAGTAGAGTGGAAGTGAAAGCAGGTTGGATTTTATTATATTGTTTTGAATTTTAAAGGATTCGGTTGAGCAGGTTTAGATGATTTTGTGATGTATGTTTGCAATATAGATGCATATGATATCAAATCACTGGTGTGGCACCTGATATTAAAGCACTTTTTATGGTAGCCTGCATTCATTAAACAGGCTAGAAAGAAAATAGTTATACCTCATCCCTTAAGTCATTTCTAGCTACCCTGCAAAAATAGATTGGAGGTACAAAACCATACCAATGATGTTGTTTGTTGTTGTAAAGTTCAACAACACAGACTTCTGTAGTATCATGCTCTTACAGTCAGTCTTAGTATAGTACAATTTACACCAATATTTGAAGGAAAAAAAAACCACTTTGCAGCACTTTACTTGACTAAAAATGTTTTGAATATTCTATGAAATACCATAGCCATTTACTGTAGCAATGCATTTATTTATTTATTTATCTGCCATATGAGCTTTACATATAAGTGCAGAAAGTACTATTACACTGGTCTTGTTAAAAAATTTGAAATGGAGGCCATATTTATTTTTTAAAAGATCCATTGGTAACTTTTCTTTTCTTTTATTTTCTTTAAGAAATGTGACGTGGGATTGGTATAAATACATCATATAAAAATAAATACCATGGTTTCTGAATATGTTAATCACCATGATATATAAAAAATAAATTCTTAAATAAATTCTTAATCATAATTATTTAAAGAAAATAGACCTATTTCTCTCCTTGAATGCATATTTCGTTTTTTTCTTCATTATAAAGAAATACAGAGTAAAAAGTAAAAGTAAAAAAATTCAATTATTGATTGTTTTTTATCATTTTCACAAGGCATTCAGCTACCAGTGATAATGTAGTACTCTCAGCTTTGTTAAAGGAATACTCCACCCCAAAATGAAAATTTTGTCATTAATCACTTACCTCCATGTCGTTCCAAACCCCTAAAAGCTTTGTTCGTCTTCGGAACACAATTTAATATACTGTATTTTGGATGAAAACCGGGAGGCTTGTGACTGTCCAATTGACTGCCAAGTAAATTACACTGTCAAGGTCCAGAAAAGTATGAAAGACATCGTCAGAATAGTCCATCTGCCATCAGTGGTTCAACCGTAACGTTATGAAGCAACGAGAATACTTTTTGTACGCGAAGAAAACAAAAATAACAACTTTATTCAACAATTCGTCTCCTCTGTGTCTCTCCGCATCACCGTAGCGCCTTTTTGGAGAATAACCACTGAACGCAAGAAGCGTACGCTATTCTGTGTCAGCCGCGACACAAGGATACGTTTTCTACGTGTATTTACGATTTGAACGAAAACAGCGCATCCGTGCAGCGCGGCTGACACAGAATAGCGTACGCTGCTTGCGTTCAGTGGTTATTCTCCAAAATAGCGCTACGGTGATGCGGAGAGACACAGAGGAGACGAATTGTTGAATAAAGTCATTATTTTTGTTTTCTTCGCGTACAAAAAGTATTCTCGTCGCTTCAAAACGTTACGGTTGAACCACTGATGGCAGATGGACTATTCTGATGATGTCTTTCATACTTTTCTGGACCTTGACAGTGTTATGTACTTGGCAGTCAATTGGACAGTCACAAGCCTCCCGGTTTTCATCCAAAATATCTTAAATTGTGTTCCGAAGACGAACGAAGCTTTTACAGGTTTGGAACGACATGGGGGTAAGT